ACTAATTAATGAGCTCGGTGAGTGAATACCTTGGCCAATCTACTCGTCCATATTGTCCAGAGTAAGTTTGAAACATTTTCAATGCTTCTATACTTTTCATTACCACATCTTTTAAAACAATGAGATCTCCATTATGTTAATGTTTGTTAGTGTAGAAAAGTACTGAAGTTTTAACAAATGACACATCTTCAGTGAAATTTGTTTTACCCAATGAATCTGCACATAAATGCTGGCAATGTTTCATTACTGAAAACCAACATATGTGTGCAATTTAGGCACTGTGATTGACCATGTCTGCAGTTATTGGTAATAAAACAATCAGCCATTATGGGGTCCCTGGCAAGTCTGTTTTTTTCTGCCATGGCATTGAAACAGGAATCAGTATTGTTTGATTATTTCTTGTATTATATCTAAATTTAAATTCTGATACCATAAAACGCTAATCTAGATAACACCAGACCGTGACCGCTTATGAAATTGAATAGTCACACCTTCATTGGGAATCAGTTATAGCCTAAAGGAAAATTCAAAAGACCTATAACACTCAACACCAGACGCAAGCCAAGGCCATGTTCTGAGCTCTTCTTGGATTGTGGGAAACAATTAACAGGAAATGGAAATTGAAAACACACATTGGAAATTGATTGGGATGTCCATAGAGCACCAGATCAAAACAGCGCAAGTCATCAACAGGTAACTAGCCAGGATTATTCTTCAGGAATCAGATGTAGTTTAGAGACCATCCACATCCAACACCTAAGACAATCCTTGAAGAGAGATATGAGTCTTTAACCTGGTATTCACTTGACCAAGGTCAAGAACTTGGGTGAATCAATTTGATTACCAAATCCCCACCACTGTGACTACAGTAAAAACTACTGCTAATTCAAACAAGTGCATACTTTGGGAGTAACAAGCTACCAACATGTTCATCTGTGCAGCATGAGTAACGGGCAAATGGTAGAGTATCCTTGAAAATATTTCACCATTCATCCAAGAGGCTTAATTAGTTCTACTGGCTCTTTGGGAGTTCTGTGTTATTTAACTTCTCTGGGAGATTAAATATAGAGGAACTCCCCACCAGTCAGTGGAAGTGATGAAGCCAGCTGAATGAACAGCATCTTTTCTTTACAACCAGACTGCAAATACAGCAGTTCTTGCTCTACGACCGTTTGATATGTCATACCCTGGCTCTTTACAGACGTGTGAGTAATACTGTGCTGCAAAGACAATATGCACAGTCATGGTTGGTCTGCTCTGATGACTCATTCCTATGGCATTTCCCAAATAATGAGTTCTCAAAGCACTCTCAAAATGCCAACTAGAAAGTTTTCATTATTTTCAGACACATTCACAGTAAGTAATTAGGCTGGAAACAGTGTCTTCTAAGAATATGGTATATCCTTTTTTTTAAGGCACCAGCTGTTATAATAGTCAGTTTGAGCACTTTGTCCAACAACTTGGAGTTCACATCATCGATCATGATGACAGAATGTCAAGAGTATGAAGTAAATAATGTCCTACCAAGTGTAAGAAAAATGGACAGAAACCAAGGGATTGGCAAGAAATATACAGGGAAAGGGTATTTAAAGAGAGGTGTGGATTGATTGAGATAAGGAATAATTATGCATGAAATACATGTCATTATCCTCTGTGCCAAATAATGCTTGTATTTCTAGTCAGACACAGTATCTTTCAGTGTTGTGTCATGTCCTGTATCCAGGCTGCAGGTATGATTTGACTCTTTGAAAGTGAATGTAACATCTGCTCTCATAACGCAATTTATTTTCTTTGAATTGTGCCAAACAAATAAAAATAACTCAGTCAAGAAAACAACCTTTGAATGTTATAGGAGTCAGTAAAACCAAACTAACCCAGAATGAGAAGTAAAAATGCTATTTTTGAACCACCAGCCAAAGCCAAGGAATAAGGCCCCGGGAGTTGAACCTCAAGGCCACCATCACTGTTTGAACGTGGAGCTATTTGTAGTTTGATTGGGTCCGCGAGGCCCCCATCAGGTGAGATGATATAGGGCCGTGGCTCCTGAGTTCTCAGGTCTAATTTGCCTGTACTTCTCCCCTCAACGAGAGATGGGAATAATTAACAGGACCCAAACACCCACCACGGGCTGAACAGAGTCATTTAGGGGAGCGACTCGGGAGGAACGGTAGCAAATGAAATGTAATTGCAATGGGAGCTGAGCAGCCGGGCTGGTGAATCAGAGTCACTCGTGTGTGTGTGTGTGTGTGTGTGAGAGGGAGAGAAAGTGAAAGAGCGATGGGAAAGACATGAGGGAATGGAGGAGTAAATGAAAGACACAGAAGGTAGATAGAGAAGATGCAGTCGAAAGAGGAGCAAACAAAATAGTGATTGCTCAGTAATTGTGAGCGATGGACAGATATTAACAAAGGGGAGCCATGGTTCAACTCAAACTGTTGACAAAGTTTAATTGAGGTAAGTATCAGTTTATACACATGACACAGAAAGCACATCATCTCATTAACTGTCCGGGGTTGGCCTGGTGGGCCCCCACCTTGATTTCTGATTGGCCACCCCAGGTGCCACCAAAAGTCCTGAAGTCAGATTGTCTATTTGTCTTGTCATTGCGCTTGATTTTTTAGATTTCCCTTTAAATTTCATTGAGTATAAAGAAGTACTTCCATAAGCCTCTGCTGTATTTAGGGTAGCTGGAGAGCTTGCAGAAATGGAAATCTAAAAACCTCAACAGGCAGACTTCTAAGAATATGGTATATCCTTTTTTTTAAGGCACCAGCCGCCATAGTCTTCATAGAGGGGAGCTAGATAAGGAAATTTGCCATTTGCATTTCAGGGGAACTAAATATTGGCTCTAATTACTTTCTCCTTTTCTACCAATACTTATAATCCTCATGTTTTAACGTAAATCTGACCAAAAACAACCTATTAAGTATTCAAAAGCAACACAAATATTACCACCATTCACCGTACAGTATTTGACCATTTAAAGACAAAAGCACTTGAACGGTTTTCCTGCAACCACATCATCATTTGTTGTGCTAATTGCATCTACAATTGGGATCTTTTCATCCCAGTAATTATAACTATTTATCGACCACGTAAAGAGCACTCAAATTGGCATTGACCCACTTGGTGCATCCACAATGTTCTCCCCTTGTACACTTTCACCGATCCGTCTTTCTTTCCCATCATCCCTTGCTCTGTCCCTCTCAGTTTACGCAGCACTGGATGAGAAGTGACCCAAGGTCAAGTATGTTCCTGTCGCCTCCAGGCACGGTCAGCCCAAACAAATTGGGGTCACTGGGATGTTGGAGTGGTGTGATCACACACACACTTGTGCAGATGGCTTAGTGTAGATAAGTGTAGATACCAGTGATAGTGTCTTATCACTGCAAACTTTAAGAGAGTGTAAAGGAACTGCTGGACACTGCTACATCTTTTTAACCAGCCGGTACAGTGAGCACCGTTTTTATGGATCTGTAAATGTTAAATTGTGTGACTCCGGCAACATGATGAGTAGAGCAGAGCCACCAGGTGTGGTCTTAGTTGGTAATTAACAGAAAGGCTGCCATTAAAATGAAAATGAATGTAATTTTAGGTAGAGGAAGCACAGGGGTCAATGAGACAATTAGAGTCGGTGTGAATGCGTTTTTAAATGCCTGCTGTCCCTTAATTGCCATTTTAAGCTATCATTAGAGGTGGTTTTAAATGACCTTTAAGCCTAACATATGAAAGCAATAAAAGCAGAGAAGAGGCTAATAACTTGTGAGACAGGGGATAAAGAGATATGCTGTTGGGTGACTAGTAATTTTGTGGACTTTAAACACATGGATCCCTCTTTTTGACCCTTGGCATACACACACCTTAAAATGTAAATGCCATTTGACGAAAATTCATTAACTCCTTAAGAGCATTTAATGCCAGGTTTTATGGACCAAAGATGGAGAGTCTACATGGGCTGAACTGGAATCACATTATGAGTAAATACACAAGAAACAGCCCCTACTTTAAGCTTTCTCAAATGGCATTTGGGCCTGATAGTCCATCCATCATACTGTACTTGCTACAACTCTAAAACTTTTACCAAATGAAAGTCAAAGTGAGCAGAAATGTTGTGATGCTTCCATTTTGCAGGGATTATAAAGTCTTCACTCTGTTTTACTTTGCTGCAAAACCAATGAAACCTATGTCCTTCCATATTTTGCGTTCAACTAACGTCAGACTGTACCTCATTAACATACCATCACAAAATGTAGCCAACTGTGAAAACATTTTGATGTGATGCTAGATTTGGCTTGGTAAATGTTGAAAATTGTATTTGACAGCATTTGCATTTCAAAGTCAAGGAGTGATAGTAAAAACAGACAACTCTATGTTGTCCAGTTTAAGCACAGATTTTTTTGGATTACTTTTTGAAATTACTTTGAAATCTTCCTTAAAGCGTGACTCCATTTGGCGGTTTTTGCCCTTGGTTTTGTAAGGTTGCAGCAGCCAACATGAGGTTATGTATGATCACCATGCTGATGTTTGCTCTTGCCTCATGCTGTGTGGATTAAAGACACATAGATGCAGTGATTTGAGGATGATTGACATAATGGTAAAAGGTCATATCCTGATATCTTGCAACACTATGCCAGTACCAAAAAGAAATACAAAGCAGAAAACAAACTAACAGAAAAGATGACAAATCTACCATCAACTACAGTTACAACATAAGCTTTTCTGAGTTATTCATCAAGACCTAAAACTTCAGGCAGATTCCAACAACAAGCTTAAAGACTCAACAAGTGTCATGGTTATCCATAAAATAACCAAACCTGGATTTCTAAGTCCATTGGCAACGTCCTACAACATGCACTCCACCTTCCAGTTCAACTTCCCTGTTCTGATATATCCATTTTTTTCTGTCTGGGTTTTTCCTGGTGGTTCATCTGCCTGATCATAGACAGAGAAAACATTCCCACATCATTCCATCCCCCAAAAGTAACCCAAAGGAGTCTTACTATGTGCAGCTCCAGGTAGTCTCCCAGTCCTTTGGCGCTCTCTACCCTGACCAGAACTGCCTCCTTCAGCTGCGTGCTGAAGCCCACTGCCAGCCGGTCTGCCCGTGTGCTCGGCCGGTCATTGGGTGGCCAGGTATATGTGATGAGGGCTCCGCCTCTTCCGAAGATGTACGTTGTCCCAGCTGCAGGAAAAGATGAGAAAAAAGTGCATCAAGAATTAACATAAAAGACAGTTCAACTGGTTTTACAGCAAAACAAATTAAATACGATACGATACCATGACTCGTATCCTGAAACATAAATACAGATTTGTATTTCTGTTGCAGTTGATGTAAAATCAATATAGCCCCCCCTTTATAAGGATAACATTATAATAATAAACCTTAAATGTGTAAAAATCATTTAAAATGGTTTGCTGATGTACAGGAGTGGAATGCAAAGTTAGAAGAAGCCAGTATCTGAAAAAAATCATAGTTAGCATAAGGCTAAAGCTACATCTTTAGGTTCTCTTTTGAAGCGAGCTTCATAGAGGAAGTGTAATCGGTAGCTTTTGGTTGTAATTGTAAGAGGCTGCATCCTTGTGATATTTCTCACAACCTTAAATAAACTAGTGGCAAATGTCTGACATGTTCCTGAAGGCAAATAAGCTAACAAAGGAGATAAAAATGTAGATTTTATCCAGGCCCAAAGGGTCTTTACATACAAGAAGGAGGACCTTCAAATCAAATCTGAATACAAGAGGGAGTCATTGCAGAGCAGCTCTAACGACCTGAATACTAATTATATTGACCCCAGTTGGACAATAAAATGTAATGGCATGGTGTCATGTTGTGGTGTATTGTGTTGTATCGTATTTTTCTGTATGGTATGTTCATGTAGGTCATGGTATGCTATTGTTTTGTATTGAGTTGTGTCGTTTGGTATCATATCATTCTTATGGCATGCTATGTTATTGTACTACATAGTTAAAGGGTGCATGATGACAACATTTTGAGCTGTAATCAGTCGTAGGTTTAAGAACAATAACATATTCAACAATATAATCTCACATACTGACAGCATCATCAATTTTGCAAAGAGAATCCCTCTCTCGGTGAAGGAGCACAAATTAGTTATATGAGGAAGGATACAGTACAACAGTCATGTGCAGCTTTAGCACCAGTAACTCGCACCATCACTGGCTGTCAACCCCCTTTGAAATGTTAATGTACCGCGCAAGTGCAACTTCAATTGCCAACAGATGAGGAGCATCAAAGTAGGGCAAACTGAAAAACTTTGCATTGGCCATGTTTTAAGTATACAGTAAAGGAGTGGGCCTCAATGTCAAAAAAAAAAAAAAAAAAACTTTTCCGAAACTGTATATTGAGAGCCAGCCTTAAAAACATAAATAAGTGAAATTATACTCAACTGGCACACTAAGAGATTTCATGTTTGAACTGTAGCAGAGGAGTTAGGACTTGGCTTTGCTCCAATAAGCTCAGTGGTGAATGAGAAATGACGGGCGTTGGCTGTGATTAGCATAGAGTAATGAAGCCACGGTGAACTGCTTTCAACCCTGTGGGATGTCTATCATAAATATGCATACGTATTAAATGCAGGCTGTGAGGGTATGTAGTAATGCATGTAGAAGCTGCATATTTAGCTTTAATACCTCCCTACCGGCAGAACCAAGAGACATATTGTCATATCTCATTGGGGGATTAATTTTTTATTTAAATTTTCCACAAATGTATCTCTCAATGACCTCATATCCATGCTTTCTGATTTGATTGGTGTTTTTCTAAATGCTTATATATTGGGGGTCCTTTGGGAACAGCATATAAACCACCGCTCAATAAGCAGTACTTTTAGTTGGAACTACTTTTTTGACACAAGTACGTCCAACTGGGAAGAGACCAAGGGGAAGACCCAGAGCACGCTGGAGGGATTATAAATCCCTTCTTAATTGGGAATGCATTGGGATCACCCAGGAGGAGCTGGAAAACGTTGATGGGGAGAGGGACGTCTGGGGCGTCTTGTTTAGGCTCTGGCCACCACGAGCCGGCCCATGATAAGTGGAAGAAAATAGATGGATGGATGGATGGACTACTTGTTTGAGTTCATCTTGCCATGAGTCCAAAGTGAAAACATCACACCCTAGTGGGCAGGAAGTTGCACTAGGTCAGTCATTTTCTAAATCAGAAACAAAAAATGGAAGATCCTGTGACAAGCTTTATGTCAACTTTGGCATGACTCATGGACAAATGGATACCCTCAACTCTTTGCTGAAGTTGTCCTGTACATGTGTAGGTAGCAGGGTTGTCACGAAACAATAATCTTGGACTCTGATTATTAAAATTCAAACAATATCAATAACGTTTTGATACCATGGGAAAAAAAACATATCCTAGACACAACAAATGTGGTTATTTTGTATTATTAAGTACAAAAAAACTCAAGCATACTCCTGCACACTGTCTGAAGTGCACAAATACATTGACAACATTTATGGTAAAGAAACATTGCCAATATATTTTTTTTATATTTTCGATATTGTAAGCTCATCTGCTCTCTGTTTGTAAGAGGCATCAATGTAACTTTCACACCAAAAAGACTTGAGAAATGTCAGTATTCGCCAACCTTTGAATTTGAATGGACCCCCGCTGCATTCTCTCTTTCATTGGTTACAGCTGTGGGTTAAAATATGACTAACGATCTGACGTTTCTGTCAAGCTTTGGCACCTTTTGATACTATGAATCATTGCCAAAAATGTGTTATTGAAAAAGTATCAAGATAATGGATATTTAGACAACCCTAACATTTACTGTAGTGTTTCCTGAAAATAATTTAAAATATCATACGACTTCCTTTTAACAGTGACACATATCACTTACTGGAAACACTTGCTGTTGAAAATATGAACAGGCTGTTTCTTCAATGTTCTCTTAATCTCATCAGACACCTACCCCCCGGCAGCCGTTACCAGCATTAAAAGTGAGGATAAAGAAATAATCAATCCTGTCACTAAGAGCCTCATCTGCTTTTATTAGTCATAAAGAGACATCACTATTTATTTTAGTCTCTTTCATGACCAAATAAAAACTCCTCATAGGGTCTTTAACTCCAACTCTACTAGAATAACACTTGTCTTTTCTGTTATTTAATGAATGTCTAGAGGAAGTGTATTGCATTACTAATGATGTATAATGTTTTGAGAACAGCCCAGTAAACAGTTTGCTGTGATGGTAACCACTGAGTGACGCCAAATTTTTGGCTCCTAAAAAAGATTTATCAATTCTGATAAATGTAAATACTTTTTTGCCCTTTGCATACCGTAGACTGTATGAAATATGGACTTAGTCTTAGTGCAAAACCCATAGGTTTCTGAAGCTTTGATGAAGTTTTGATAACCATTGAGGCAGTCACCTGATTAGAATTGCTGTCACAAATTAACTTTCAGTCAATTTAGCAAAAGGCAAAGAGGTGTAGCTGAGGCGGGGCTTTAGCCTCCTGACAGACACCATGTCAGTCAGATGAGGCTTGCGCCAAATTATTCAAATGTATGCATATCTCTAAGTCTTTAAATAACCAAAACAGATGAGTTAAAAAAACAAAAAAAAAAAACAAGGCTGTAAACATGTCTATTTCTTCTGTTTAAATAGGCATTCAACCACGGGTCCTTTGGGTCTTGCAGACAGAAGTGAATAGACACTTGAAGAACTACGGTTTTTGGCCCTTCCCCATTGGCTACAATGTTGCTTCCTACATGCTGGCCCAAAATCATCCCTTTGTCTCTCTCCAGTCGACGCCACTGTGAGTCTTGACTGCTGCTCTGGTCAAACAATGAACCACTTTAGCTCCATTCATCCCACTCTATCTCAACCTAAGAACATCCCACCCCTTACAAAAACCTCCTGCATGATATATATACTGTCGACTTGTTCCTCTATTGATACCAGTATTGGAAATAACTCCAATACAGCCTCATTGGGATAATAGCAAAGGAAGGTATGGGCACTTTTGTCACAGTCACCAAATTGTTTGTCAATCGATTCAGCTTCACTGCACCAAAACATTCAACACAGAGAGTGTCATTAGGCCACCAGGGATTTATTACATGCGCTACAGGAAAAAGCTGTTTTAAGGCAGCTAGAAGAACTCTTTTTAGGTAATTTATCTTGGGAGGCCAGCAAACAAAAACACTGTGCTGCTAGCAGACAGAGCAACATTAGTCAGAGCTGGTAAAATGTCACCAATTTGGCAAAAATTTTACTCTGGGAAGTCCCAACAAAGAAACAACAAAGTGAAGAGTTTGCAAGGCTTCCGTTCGAGGGGTAGAACTGTTGTTGCCATGCAGGATTACTAGAGCTTTAGTTTTGATTGGTAATTTTAGGTTCATGTACTATAATTGGTATCACAAGGCAAAATGGTGTAATACTTGTAATTTCAAATTTCAATAAACTACCGAGACAACGGATATAATATAGTCATATCTATTAAAAGATTCTACAAAGATGAAGAGCCTTACTCAAGGTCTGGATCTGTAGTCCAAGCAGTATTGACCAATCACATATCATCAGGTTTTATGTACGCAAGAGAGATAGTCCGGAGAGCAAAAGAAGGAGTGGAGCACTTTCAACGAAGATGGTAATGACAACCCAGCGGTATTTATTGAGATATCTGCAGCTAACAATCTGGTCCTCATGAAAGATTTCAACTTCCAGTTTGCAGTTTTTTCTTACCACTGTAACTTTTGCTGCTTTGTTAAAGTGCTCATGATGGATAGGCCGGGTCTTTGTAATATAGCAATAAGTAAGGTCTTTACCTGCTTTTTGTAAAGTGTCTCGAGATAACACTTGTTATGAGTTGACGCTATACAAATAAAAATTGATTGATTGATTAACTTGAGCCAACAACCTGTTCAACCAATGTCCGGAAAGTTTATCAGGATTAAGATTTCTCCATTACTTGGAATATATATATAAAAAAGATCAATCCAACCTCAATTCAACATACAAGCACATTTTAAAGACTGGTTTGGGGATGGGGGTGTTTTTTATTTTTTACTGTATGCCTTGGATAGAGTTGAAAACCAGGGAGAGAGCATGGGGAATGAAATGGGGGAAATGAGCCACAGCCTGGAGTCTGCCTGTCTGGAGGGCCCAGAGCCTCTGAACACGGGGCACGCAAACCAACAACTAG